GTTCTGCTGGTAGAGAAGTCAGTTTCACGATTTGCACAGGAGTACCTTCTTGCTAAAGATATATCCCTTGTACTTAACATAAAGAAGCCACTTTTAGAGCGCATCGCTCGGTGCACAGGTGCACAAATTGTTCCTTCAATCGATCATCTCTCATCTCCGAAGTTAGGATACTGTGAGATTTTTCATGTGCAAAGATTTTTGGAAGAACTGGGTACAGCTGGGCAGAGCGGGAAAAAGTTGGTAAAGACACTGATGTACTTTGAAGGCTGCCCAAAACCATTGGGTTTTACAGTGAGTTCATAATTCTTCTGATTATGGATACAATGAATTACAAAATGGTAACTTCTGTGATATTGGTTGACAAATGCGGTGCCTAGAATGCTTGATTTTACAAATGGTAGTCTGCTATGAAGAGCTCCCCTAATACTCATTTTCACTATTCAATTTCTTTCCAGATTTTACTTAGAGGTGCCAATGGAGATGAGTTGAAGAAAGTGAAACATGTTGTACAGTATGGAGTCTTTGCGGCATATCACTTAGCTTTGGAGACTTCTTTTCTTGCTGATGAAGGAGCTTCTCCAGAACTTCCATTTAATTCTTCAATAACTGTTGCACTTCCAGATAAACTATCAAGTATTGAGAGATCCATCTCAACTGTGCCAGGTTTCAGTGTACCTGTCAGTGATAAATCTCAGGGTCCTCATCATATCAGTGAATCACAAAGATCAATTAGTATCCCTACTGAGGGGGTGGCTGCTATAGCGGGTGATGGTGGTTCTGTTGAGAGTGGTGAAATGAAAACCCTAACCGAGAACACTGTTCCTCTATCTGTTGAACCTACTTTGCCTAGTTTCAGTGCTGCAGCATTTCTTCCCTCACTCCAATCTACAATCAAAGTCGTTGCTGATTCATACTGTACATTTGATGAGAAAAACAGACTTGGGTTGGAAGGTACTCCAGTGACTGAAATTTCCATGGTTAATGATGGCCTGTTTTCTCTGAACGATCATTTTGCTGGTAATATGCCTGGTCCTGTGGACGGGATCACAGTTGGTGGCAAATCTAACCTTGGTGAGGCGATAGTTCCTCCACAACTAAGCTCAGAGGTTTCATCAGGGCAAAAGGACGGTAACAACAATGCGGAGGATCCAGGACCTCTAAAAGAGGACTTCCCTCCTTCACCTTCAGACCATCAGAGCATTCTGGTTTCCTTGTCTTCCCGCTGTGTATGGAAAGGAACTGTCTGTGAGCGGTCCCATCTATTCCGGATAAAATACTATGGTAGCTTTGACAAACCTTTAGGTCGGTTTTTGCGAGACCATTTATTTGATCAGGTAACTTACTGTGAACAGTTTGATGTATCCTTAAGTAAACCTTTTTTTCCCCATTAATATTATTATTTTGCTGAAAGACTTCATCTTTCCGAGCCTGTTCCCTTTAAGATGATAAATTTCTTCTGTTGCAGAGTTATTCATGCCGCATCTGTGAGATGCCATCAGAAGCACATGTTCATTGTTATACTCATCGGCAGGGCACCCTTACAATATCTGTAAAGAAGCTACCTGAATTCCTCTTACCAGGTGAAAGGGATGGGAAAATCTGGATGTGGCATAGATGTCTAAAGTGTCCAAGGACTAATGGTTTTCCTCCAGCCACTCGAAGAGTAATAATGTCTGATGCTGCTTGGGGATTGTCTTTTGGTAAATTTTTGGAGCTTAGTTTTTCAAATCATGCAGCTGCAAGTAGAGTGGCAAGTTGTGGTCATTCACTGCACAGGGATTGTCTTCGTTTCTACGGGTATTATTTTTATTGCATTGATTGAGCTAGGAGTAAGTTTCTTGCTGTCTCTCTTTCTGACTTCCAATGATGTACAGGTTTGGGAAAATGGTTGCTTGCTTTCGCTATGCTTCAATTAATGTCCTCTCAGTGTACCTTCCACCTTCAAAACTTGATTTCAGCCTTGGAAACCAGGAGTGGATACAGAAAGAGGCGGCAGAGGTACAGAGACTACTACAATCTGGATGACGAGTTATTTGATTTACTATTCATATTCTTCTGGCCGTTAAAGATTTAATCATCCAAAATATCAGGTGGTGGACAGGGCTGAGCTTCTGTTTTCTGAGATACTCACTGCCCTTGGTCGAATTGCTGAGAAACGTCATGCTGCAGCACTGCATAATGGTAGCACAAAGCCTACCGAATCAAGACGGCAGATAACTGAACTTGAAGCCCTGTTACAAAAGGAGAAGGCAGAATTTCAGGTGAGGCATAGTGCAAAAACCAGAATTTCAAGACGACTACATAATAATTTTTCTGCAACATTTATCTGATTCGCAAACCAATTTTTCTCCTGTCTGAAAAATACCTCTTTTATTGTGATTGTTCCCACTTTAGGAATCACTACAAAAAGTTGTGCACAAGGAAGCAAAAAGGGGGCAACCTGCAATTGATATTCTTGAGATAAATCGACTGAGGAGGCAATTACTTTTCCAGTCATACATGTGGGATCACCGACTGATCTATGCTGCTAATTTGGATGATAACAACTGCGAAGATGTGCTCAATGGCTCTCCTTCAGCAAAAGCGGAAAAATCTCCTGGTAGTACTGGTATGAGCTCAGTGGACCTCTCTCCTCTACGAACAAACATATCTGACCATCGTCAATCGGGTGCCTTAGATAGTGTGTCCAATCAGTATAGCCCAGTTGACAAAGAAAAAGAAAATCCTGATGTAGACTCTAGTCCTGATAAAGAAAACAGTGCTAAACTTGCTAGTACCGTGTCAATGTGTGATCAGTATGAAAGCCTTGAATCTGGTGGAGTTGTTCGAAGAACCCTTTCTGAGGGTCAGGTCCCCATTTTGGCCAATTTATCTGAGACTCTTGATGCTGCTTGGACAGGGGAGAATCACTTGGGGGCAGGCATACTAAAGGATAATGGCCTTGAGTCACTCTTGAGCGATTCCTCTACTCCAGTTTCTGGCGCATTCGAGTTTGACAATCATGTGGGGAACAACAATGGGACAAAGGGCCCTGATGACGCAGAAGAATCTGTTAGCTGGTTAAGAATGCCCTTCTTGAACTTTTATCGATCCCTCAACAAAAATTTCCTGGCCAGCTCTGAGAAGCTCGACACCTTGAATGATTACAATCCGGTGTACGTTTCATCCTTCAGGCAGCTTGAATTAAAAGGTGGGGCCCGGCTTCTTCTTCCTGTGGGCATTAATGACACTGTCATCCCTGTCTATGATGATGAACCCACGAGTATCATATCTTATGCCCTTGTATCACCTGAATATCATGGCCAAGTAACTGATGAACTCGAGCGGATGAATTACAGTGCTGATTTTGGTTCATCATCATTTAGTTTCCCCGACTCCATGGCTTCTCAGTCCTTCCACTTTGCGGATGATATGAGCTTTGATTCTCACAAAAGTCTTGGTGGGTCTACCGAGGATACCACCACCTTAACCATGTCTGCATCTCGAAGCTCTTTGATTCTGGACCCACTTTCATACACAAAGACATTGCATGCTAGAGTTTCTTTCGGAGATGATGGTCCAATTGGGAAGGTGAAATATTCTGTCACTTGTTACTATGCACAGCAGTTTGCTGCACTAAGGAGGATGTGTTGCCCAAATGAGCTCGATTTTGTGAGGTCTCTCAGTCGCTGTAAGAAGTGGGGGGCTCAAGGTGGTAAAAGCAATGTCTTCTTTGCAAAGACTTTGGATGACAGGTTCATCATCAAACAAGTGACAAAGACGGAACTGGAATCGTTCATAAAATTTGCGCCCGAATACTTCAAGTATCTTTCTGAATCAATTAGTTCACGCAGTCCAACTTGCTTGGCAAAGATACTTGGAATATATCAGGTAGTTGTTCTCAACAACTTTTCTTGCAGATAATAGCCTGTCTACTATCTGTCTTTTTTCTCTAAGCCATGCATGAGAAGTACAACTAATTAAGTATTTTTTTAATTATAATCTTCTAAGGTTGCATCGAAGCATCTGAAAAGCGGGAAAGAATCCAAAATGGATGTTCTGGTCATGGAGAATCTTCTGTTCAGAAGAAACGTGACACGCCTTTATGATCTGAAGGGCTCTTCAAGATCAAGGTACAACCCAGATTCCACTGGGAATAACAAAGTTCTGCTTGATCAGAACTTGATTGAAGCCATGCCAACTTCTCCCATCTTTGTGGGCAACAAGGCGAAGCGGTTGCTTGAAAGAGCAGTGTGGAACGACACTTCTTTCCTTGCAGTAAGTTGTTATGGTCTATCAATACCATGTGGTGGTGTTGACTTTGATTCATGTGCTGATTGATATATGATTCAGCATTTTGTTTTCTGTAACACTTGACAAAATATTAAATAATGCCTTGCAGTCAATCGATGTGATGGATTACTCTTTGTTGGTTGGACTGGATGAAGAGAAGCACGAGCTAGTTCTTGGGATCATTGACTTCATGAGGCAGTATACATGGGATAAGCATCTGGAGACTTGGGTGAAGGCATCAGGAATACTAGGTGGTCCAAAGAACTCAACTCCTACTGTTATATCCCCAATGCAATACAAGAAGAGGTTCAGGAAAGCAATGACTACCTATTTCTTGATGGTCCCAGATCAATGGTCTCCTCCCTCCATTCTCCCAACTAAATCTCTATCTGATGTGGGGGAGGATAACACCCAAGGGGCTGCATCTGTTGAGTAAAATGTTGGAGCAGCAGCAAGCTAATTATTAAGCCATTGTGCTCTCTTTTCTGTCCATTGTACATTTCCCCCCTATTATTTTGGGCTGTCACATTCATTTGGTCTTTTTTCAACTCTTCTGTTTCCTTTTTGTTGGGGAAAATTTTCATTTTTTAGGTGTGGAAATGGGGAGTGTTGCAGCTGTAGTTTTGGTTGGGTGAAAGGGGAAGATCATGAAAGAGTGTTTATTAGGGTGGGAGATTAGAGGAAGGGTAATAATAGGGCTATAGCAGAGGAATGTCAAAGAGGTATAATATTGGATTACCTCTGTCCATGCATGGGGCATCATAATCATCTTTGTTTCTGTACAAAAATATTTGTTCTTGTGTTATAGAATTAATGAAAGCAACGAATATTTATAATGTAAATCTAGTCCAAGTACATCTCTGTTATCACATTTATATACAGGTTTTGGCAGAAAGCAGGTATAATGAGTTGGTCGCATAAATAGATGGCCGGTGGTGATATGACTTGGTTTATACGCTGCTGGACTTTGAAAGGTCTTCTTGCGGGGTAAAAATACCTCCAGCACTCTGATATTGATCACCATCATCACCATGAGAGCCATTAACAATCTGCAGAAGCCGCTGCTGAAGGAGGTTGATGATGATCTGCACATCCCTGATCACGAACATTACATGTTACAGTATACATAAGCATTTGATTATTGGATGACTAGATGCTGCTGATACAATGATGAATCAACCATGACTGAGATTGATCATCATACCTTGACGACGAATGATGTCGATATGCAGCAGGAATCTGTCGCTGGTGCAGGTCATCTAAACAACGAGGGCCTTCATCATATGCTTCGCAAATGACTTCCCCAGTTCTCACATCTGTATAACAAACTATACCCTCAACTGGGTTCTCGAATATCTATCCTCCAGAAACAGTTGAGATTCGAGAATTTAATGAGCCAGCAGGACAATTAGTATACATGCTGACAGAGGAAGGAAGAGTTATAGACTTTTGATCCATGTAATGTACAGAAGTTACCTACCTTGTTTTTGAAGGAGGAACAAGAGTAAGATTTGATCATGATCCCCACAGGTTTATGAGCTTTCTTATTGTTGCTGCTGAGTGGAAGCTGGTGTGGAATTGAACAAGCTGCAGATGTCTGCATTACTGGGAAGTGTGGTGGCGAGGAAGGCCATCTTAATGCAACCATTTGATCAAACACCTTACACTAACAAGCATATGGTGAAAAGCTTATTTCTTTACACACAGACAGAGAGAGGGAGAGAGAGAGAGGTTTGAAGAAAACTGTAGGCGTTTACTTTGGTGTTGCAGCTGATAGAATTGTTAATGGTTGCTGTGAATATGTTGCTGCTGGGGAGGTTGTCTTTGTCAATGGTGCACTATCTTATAGTTATAAGAGATAATAGGGTGAAAGGTAGTGGGGCCATTTTCCCTGTATCTGCTTATCTTCTACCTCGATCCAATAATTCAAGCCATTGAAAGGTCGGGTGGAAGAGGAGAGGATTATTATTAAATTATGGTCTGCCGTGTTTTGTTGGTTGTTCTTGATTCATTCCACCTAACCAAGGTGTCATTTTATCAAACCATGATTAGACAGCGTTGTTTTAAGTAATCAGTGAGAATTTGTTTATAATTTGAGGTTTTGACTACAGCACATCTTAGTATGAAAGAAAAAAAAAAAAGGATTGAGTTAGGGTGAAGATGAGAATCATTGAATTCATTATCTTTCTTTTTGTTTTTGTTTTTCGGCGAGAAAACTTGCTTTGAATTGAGATTGATTTGCACCTTTAACTTTTTTGAACAACGATTACTAAGACACGACTCACACATCTTCAAACAAAGTTCGAACGAGGGTGTTTGATTGATGGTTTTTAGGAATGAAAAACTAAATTAAATTACTCCTACTCCAATGGAGGTTCAACGAGAGCTCCAAACTACGACTATGGCTACATTGCAGAGAAAGGATAAAAACTTGACGTAGGCGTCGGTTGTTTGGTTGTGGAACCCCTGTCTCTGTCGACCCCTCCTCTTATTTATAGTCACGAGGAGGTAACCGCCATAGAAAACCGCTTGTTGGATAACTGCTACAAAGAACCACTCCTCTTTCTTCGGTAGAAAACCGCCTCTTGGATAACTCCCAAAAAGAACCGCTCCCTGCTTCCTCAGAGTGGTGGTTACTCCTTCAACCGCCTAGGTGCATCTCTTGGAACCGTCGTGGGTCTTGGAGTGTAGCTTGCCTCGCCTGGTCTTGTTCTGAATCTCGTGCCATGCTAGTCTTTTGACGAGCATGTGGTGTCTCACAAAGGGGGTCATGGTTCTCTGGTCTCATGGTCATGGACTTCTTACTCATGTCCATGGCCCTCTTGAGACTTAGTCACTAGTGATATAATGCTCCACCACCACGCCCTTCTCATCCGTGTCCATGGCCATTCTCGTGAGGTGGCATGGACCTCTCAATCATGCACAAGGCCCCTCTCATGAGGCGGCATGGCCTTTCAAAACTTAGTATTTTCAATCGTTTCTAATGCTTCTTGCTTCGTGTCCATGGCCATCACATGACACGACCATGGACCTCTTAATCATGCACATGGCCCTTCTTGTGAGGCGGCATGGCCTTCTCAGACTTAGTATATTTTGGGTCGTTCGGTCTTGATCATGAGGCGACATGGCCTCTTCATTCGCGGCCATGGACTTCTCAGTCATGTCTGTGGCCCTTCTCTTGATACAACATGGCCCTCTCATACTTAGTATTTTTTCAATCGTGCCTAGGGTCTCTTTTCACGCGTCTATGCCCCTTCTCGTGAAGTGGCATAGACGTCTCATCTTGTCTCGCGTCCATGCCCCTTCTCGTGAAGCGACATGGACCGCTCGTTGAAGTGGTACATGCTTCTCCTTGAAGGAGCATGTACCTCTTCCAGACTTGGTTTATTTTTCAGTCATTCGGTATTGGTCGTGGGGCGGCATGTGCTCCTCGATTTCTAGATGGACATGGCCCTCTTCGTTGAGGCGGCATGTCCCTCTCCAGACTTAGTGGTTTGGGCTTAAAATTAATATCCAAAAGGCCCAACTTAACAACATTAATTGTTATAATTAATGTGGCCTTATAAACTCATTGATTATCTTGTAACTCACAAATGTGGTACAAAACAATTTTATGATGCAAACACTTTTGGATGATATTGAGCCAAATATTTTTTTTAGCTGAATTACATGTTTGGTCACTCAAATTGAATAAATCTTTCACGTTTGCCACCCGAATTACTTTTATTTCTTATTGACCACTAACTTTACCAATCATTTCACCGTTAGTCACCCGCCGTTAGTTTCCATTAACTCCGTTAGTTTTCTAATGATGTGGCAAACAGAGTTGCTGACTGGACTTCAAATTAATGACATGTCTATTTAAAAAAAAATCATTTACCCCTCATTCTCACATACCCAATCTGTCGTGCCCCTCGTTGGAAATTTCTAGACCCATACCTAATCCCCTCCTCTCAAGTCTCAATTGAATCGAGGAGGAGGTGGTCGGGCGTCGAGAATCTCTGGGTGAAGATGTCAGAAGAGGCGAGAAAACTGAAGAGGCAATTACATCTACTATTGCCCGAGCTTCAAAGGGTTTCTAGTGATCCAAGCCCACCGGGTGGTCCACGAGAATTGGCAGCAATAGAGCAGTGGAAGGCTCTTGCGCTTCTGATCCAAAACAGGGTGTCCGAGGTTTTGAGGCTGCAACATCCACCTCGGTGCCCGAATCGGGGAAGGGGTGCTTCTCGATCACGCCACCGGAGTGGTGATTAGGGAGACGGAGGAGATCGGGAACGACATCTCGATCCTGCATAGCGTGATGCTTTTCGGATATGTTGATTCGTCTGTGTCTCTCCCGGTAACTAGTCGCCGTCAATCTCAGTTTCCGATGCGATCTCTTTATGAAATCTCTCTCTCTGCCGATCGTCTCCACCCCATTTCACAAAACTCCATATCAACAAAAACAAACCCATTAGTCGAATTGAACCTTTTTTGTGTTTAGGGTTTATACAGTAGGTTCTATAGAAGCTCAAAGCTCTCAACTTTTCATTACAGCTACAAATAGACTTTCAAGTTCCAACAAAGAAAGGTGGAGCTTGGAGGAACTTTGATTTGCCTATCTAGCTAGTGAAGGAATAGGTTGTTTTTAGTGATCCGGGGAAGGGGTGAAGATCGTGGCTTGTTTGGTGGTTTTGAAGGATGTTCGGGCGAGGACGACGGTGGTGGGGAACCGGCGTGCTTGATTGGGGGGAAGGAGAACCCAACTCCACACGAATTGATCCCACTAGCTAGTGGTCGTGTGGTGGCCGGAGTCCGTGAACACGATCTTCCCCTTCAAGGATCCCACCTCCGTGCAGCGAAACCATCTTGTTGCCTTCCGCATCGACGATGACGAAGGCGGGCTCGTGATGTGGGTCTTGAACACGGAGTTAAAGATTTGTTTTAATTTTTTAATATTTTTAAATTGACATGTCATTAATTTAAGGTACAGTCAGCAACTCCATTTGCCACGTCATCAGAAAACTGACAGAGTTAACGGAGTCTGACGGAGACTAACGGCGGGTAACTAACGGTGAAATGATTCGTAAAGTTAGTGGTCAATAAGAAATAAAAGTAATTCGGGTGGCAAACGTGAAAGATTTATGCAATTTGAGTGACCAAACGTGTAATTTAGCCCATTTTTTTTAAACAAAACATACGATCACATAAAATATAGAATTAAGGTTGTGAACCCAGTTTAGCATGTTGGCTCAGTCGAGCAAGTGAGTTAAGGGTTAATGGTCCGATCGCTTTCGCCCCCGTAGCCCGGATATATAAAAAATCCATTATATTGTTCATACATTTATAAATTATATAAAACTCTCATCTAATATATGAGTAATAATATATAAAACGACTAAATTGCAAGTTTGGTCACTTGAATTACTAGTAAATTTCACTTTAGCCACTAGAATTACTTTATTCTATCCGTAGTCACTTAAATTAGGTTAACAGTTCAAGTTTGGTTACTGACCGTTAGTCACCGTTAACTTTTGCTCATATGGCAGTCAACTCTTATAGTTGACCGTTAAATGAGTGACGTGGCAATTAAAAAAATAATAGAATATAATTATTTTTATTTTTATTTTCCAGCTAATTATTATTCATCATGAAACCCATCATCCTCTCTTCACACCCAATCCCGTCCATAAATTTCAACAATCCGCTCAAACTCAAATTTCCTGAGAAATTCGCCAGCAGTCGATCGAGATCCCCGATCACGATCACCGACTGGGGCGTCGTCTGCGAGAGGAGGGCGAGCAAACCAGAATCGCCTGCGAATTTCAAAAAATCAATTTCGCAAAAGTCAAAACAGAGGAACCTCGTCATGGAGGAGGTAGCTCCACTTCCAGACGCGACCGAGGCGGTGGTAGTACGGCTTCGATTTCAATAACAATTTCAGGTTGAATTTAATTTCCCCCTTCAGATCCCCATCCATTACCACTGTCTCCATCCCGTCTTTGCTATCTCTGAAGTAGATGGCCAGGGTGAATCTTGCAGAAGCCAAAAAGATACTCCCTCCAACGCACAACTTATATATGCAGCGTCATTAATACTGAACCTTCAGGAATGCTTTGCCTCTTTAGTGATGTTTAGCCTTTTGTCTCTGAAGTTTGCTGAAAACATATGTGAGGTCGTTAATTGTCCTAATGAAAAGATATACGACATTGATTGAATGGAAAACTGTGGTGATTTCTATTAAACCCCATTGATTCATGCGACGGTGAAAAATAATAATTAAAGAAATTAGGATTTTCCTTTTTAATTTATAATAATTAGCTGGAAAAAATAATAATTATTTTTTAATTGCCACGTCATTCGTTTAACGGTCAACTATAAGATTTGACCGCCACATCAGCAAAAGTTAACGGAGACTAACGGCCAGTGACCAAACTTGAACTGTTAACCTAATTTAAGTGACTACGGATGAAATAAAATAATTCTAGTGGCTAACGTTAAATTTACTAGTAATTCAAGTGACCAAACTTGCAATTTAGCCTATATAAAACTATATCAAAATAACATGTTGTTGTCGTACTTGGATAGAAACATATAGTGAAAATTCACACACACTTATATAACATCAATATTCAAATGTTCAATTTAGAATTTCAAAGATAAGGTTAGTCGAAAGAGGAAAACCGAAAAAATAGGGGCATTTTGCAAACAAAATGGAAAACGACAATGTGTTACCTCCAACCCGACAACCTTGCAGCGGGTAGACCCAACAGGTGTGTGCAACCGATTTTTCTCAGGGGGTCGAGTCAAAATGAGTCAACTGACAAGATGACCCGCGATTTGACAACCTTGCATAGAATTGCTACCCTATTAATTTACATATTTTCTCCCTCTCTTCTTCAAAACCCTAAACAAACTCTTTCATCCTCTCTCTCAGCCTCTTTCTCCCTCCTTCTTCCTCTCTGTCGCCCTCCTGTCTGACTGTCGCCGCCTACCACCACCATCCCTCGTTGCTAATGCCGCCCTCCTCTCTCCCTGCCAATCAAGACCAGCAACCCTCCTCTCTTCCTCTATTGCCCCCACCCTGCTCTTGCTCGTCGTTGTCACTACCACACTCCTCTCGTCTTTCGGTGCCTCTAGGCTCTATCCGACGAGGTTTCCTTTTCCAATGAGGTCATCGTCCTCTCTCTGTCATTTTGAAAACTCATATATGAGTTTCTATTGAAGTGGTACTTTTTAAAATTGATACTGGTACTATTTTTTAGAGTGATACTTTTTTTAGTGAAGTAGTATAGTTTTTAGTGCTAGTGGTAGTAATTTTCAGTCTAGTGGTAATATTATTGGTGTAGTGGTATATTTAACATTGGTATTATTTTTCAGAGTGATACATTTTCTTAGTGTAGTGGTACATTTTTTTAATACAATGGCACTTTTTCAGCGGTAAATATTTTTAGTATAGTTTAACTTTTTTTATTCAACAACTGTACTTTTTTAGAGTTGTGCCTTTTCTTAAGGAGTAATGATTATTTATTAGCCAAACCTTTTTCGGATTCTTTTTTATTAGTCAAACCTATTGAAATACTTGTAACCAACCATTCGTTAAGTATTCGTTAACAGTTCCGTAAATTAAAACTGAACTGGCAAAATAGGTGTTGATGTGGTAAGATGCCTAAGAGTAGGGCTGGGAAACAGTCCGGTTCGGTTTTAACCGGACCGGATTGACTCGGTTTTTTATAACCGGATTGGACATATGCTCAACCGAAGACGGGATTGGATTGGTACACGGTTTTGACCAAACCGGATTGGATGCAATACGGTTTGGTCCGGTTTTGACTGGAAAACCGTTTTCAACACAAAAATAAAAAATGGTCCCTGTTCGCCCCAAACGCAGCGTCTCATTATGATTAAAGGAAGAGGAAAAAAAAGTGACAGTCCCCATCTAACCTCTTCTCGATTAAAAACACCATCCCCATCTTCCCTCTCTCTTCTGTCTTCTTTCCATCTTCCATCTCAATCTCTCACTATAGTCTAGACATAAATCATTCAAAATCCTTTCGGTTTCTCCCTTTCCTCTTCATATCTACAAATCACGATTGGAGCCTTCGAGGCAAGCGGGTTCGGTGACGCCGGCAAAGCAGAGTCGGCGGAGTTCTAGATGTCAACGTCGGCACTCCCGACCCTCCCAAAACGTTGCCAAATCGGAGGCGACCTCGGATAGGAGAGCCAAGCAGAGAGAGCTGCAATCGACGAAGTTGATGAGGCGGCTAGTTTCTGGCCTCAAATCGGAGAGGCTGGAACCGGGAGGTGAGCTGGAGAGAGCTGCAATCGACGAAGTCGATAGGGCGACTGGTGGTAGAGAGGCGACGAGGTGAGCCAGGGACATCTGGCGATTGGCTCATCTGGCGATTGCAGTCGCGAGAAGGGTAGATCGAGAGAGAGATGGAGCATGCAAACTATGGAGAGGCAGGAAATGAGAAGAAGATAGGGAAGCCGTCGTCGGTCGTCTCGCCGGCCAGAGGGTGAGTAGGCGGAGGGACAACATAGAGAACGAGAAGAAGATTTGAGAAGAAGATTTGAGAAGGAGGAAGCGGAGCTGAGGCTCTCTAGGTAATAGATTTTTAGGGTTTTTTGGGCCCTGTGGGCTGTGGGCTTTTGGGCTGTGGACTGTGGGCTTTTGGGCTGTGAGTTGTTACCCGGTTTCCGGTTAAAACCGGACCAAATTGGACCGGGACCGGGTCAGTTTTTTACCCCTACCCTCTGACTGTAAACTGGATTGGGTTACATGCTTTCCGGTTTCCGGTCACAACCGGGTCGGTTTAAACTGGACGGTTTCCGGTTTGACCGGAAAACCGGGACCGGATTTCCAGCCCTACCTAAGAGCAAGTGGCCCCTCTTTTTCTCCTTCTCCACTAAAACCCCAGAAGATTAGAATCCGATCAATAGAAAACCTAGAAAAAACATTCATAACTCTGTCGGAGGGATACGTTCAGAAGAATTTGGCCAGCGGAAGGCAAAGAGATTGCTGAAAAAGGGAGAGTGAGAGATATAAACCGATAAATGTAATTAATATAGAATTTCTATTTAAAAAATAAGTAATGCAATTAATATGAGTTTTTAATTTTAAACGTATAATTAATAAAAAAATGTCTCAATACCCGACATACCTTTTGGGTATGAAAAAAACAAATTTATTACATTTTTTTGTGTTAATTACATATTGGAAATTAAAAACTCATATTAAATACATGCTTTAAAAAAATAAACCTACAATTAATATACTTAAATCTTTCTCTATCTCTCTCTTCTTTTTCCAGCAGTTTCTCTGCTCCGACCGCCAAGATTTCTTCGACCGACAGACTTTTTTCCGGAGAAATCTTTCAATTAGACTCACTCCGGCCACCTGCAAAAAAGTAGCACTTCATTAGTGCGCTAGTGGTGGTAGCGTACCACTACCACAGGTAGCATACCACTAGAGACTAACACAAAAAAACTAGAATTGGAATCTGAAAAATTACAGATCTGAAAAAAAAAGGGTTGAGAAAAGGGAAAGGCATGGGAGAGGCAGTGACCTTGCAGCGGCGCAGTGAAGACGAGAGGTGGTGGGAGGCGGAGAAGGGGGAGGCAGAGGCGGCGACAACGACGACGATAGTGGTGGTGTAAAGACGGTTGCGGGCACAACAAGGGCGATGAGGGCAACGTGGCGCGGTAGGGGCGATGAGGACAGCGGCAGCGTGAGGAGGACAACGAGAGGAAGGCAGCGGCAACAACGGTATAGGAAGTCGGCACGGTGATTGAGGTCGACGATGAGGGTTTTTTTGTTAGAGATAGATGAGAGGGGAAGAGGAGGGAGACGAAGGGAATGAAGAGAAGGGGGTCTTTTTTTTTTTTTTTTTTGTTAATGAAGAGTATTTATATGAAAAGTGGAAAAGATCCCATGTGCTAAGTTTTTAATTTCGAAATTGCCCCCAAATTAATCTGTACTATTAATTTAATAAGAGAAAGAAAGAGAAAAAAAATAAAAGGCTAGAATATGGATTGCCATTTTCACAATCCTTAAAAGAGTTGTGACGTATCCCATCCCTACCTTTTGTGCAAAGAGGTTGGGAAAATTGGATTGTCACGAAATCATGCAGCATCCAAACTGCCCATTATTGAATTGTTAATTCTTCTTGTCAAAAGGGGTTAACTAACTCTACCATTAGTTCAAAATTAAATGCCGACCCTTAGTTTCTTTATATATGAATAGGTTAATCTCTAATGGCAAGGATGATTCCCAACCTCTAGTTTCTTTATCTTTCTTTTGTTTGTAATTGTATTACAACTCAGAAGTCAACATCTGCAACATCTGCTGACTGGGAATGGTTGATTTGCATATCAGAATATGTCATATATTATATTGTGCCTGCCTTCCATAACTCATCCATCCACAATGTATTTATCTGTTATAAAATAACACTAGCAGTGGCAGTGAAACTGGTTTGTATAATGGCGTTGGATATGGTGGATTTGGATACAATCAAAGAAGTGATTCTTTGAAGCATAAAATTTAAGAACGTAAATATTTATACATCGGCTAAAATTATTAATATTTTTCTTGGGATTGTGATGGATATTGTTGGGTCGGGTTTCTTCAATCCGCAGAATATCTAGCGGGTGCACCCGTTAAGAAACCCGATATAGAATACTCATTAAACTTTGGAAGAGAAAACTCAGACCGTACACAATGAGTATCAGTGGGTGGATGGTTTCCCGTGGGTTCTCAAACACAATTGCTTATTGTCCTACAACTATACTAGCTAGTTGTATCATACTTGAACTAAATTAATAATGTCATTGTTTTAGTTTGATTATTCATCACTTTGATTTTCTTACAGCTTAGTTAAATTTTTGCTTTGAAAAATGCATTTCATATTTGTTGTTTGACATGTGAAAATACAGAACATGATAGCTGTGTCTGTTTCCCCAGCAATAACCTCCTTAAGTAATTTGCTTCGATGGTCTTTTTTGTAAGCCTTATTGTCAAGTTAAACTAAACATTTAAGAAAAAAAACTTTAAGTGACCATTTTGAAATTTGTCAATTTGGTGACCATTTTGACATTTGCCAAGAACAGATCCCAACAGAAGGCTGAGCCCAAACTATAATAAGCGGCCATTTCCAGTTTATGGGCCAAAGCTTCCGTTTTATAATTCTTACAAGTACGCATAGCCGAAAGCCCATTAGTATAACAATGTCATGTTAGGTAATTTCCAGGCCCAACAAACCGAAACGTTTCTCTGAAGCTTGTCTGGCTTGGATGACAAGTCGAGAGGAAAGGAAATTTACTCAATATTCATAGAGCAAGCAGTTGCCTGCCTCTGTCAATCAATCGGAGCCTCCAAAAGCCCTTACTCTCCCCGCCGGTGCCCGCAAAATCTAGTTACAGTCAGAAGAACAGCCGCCGTCAGGCTTCTCCGTTTCTCCTCATTACCTATCTGTAGAACAGATCGAATTCCCACCGGCGTTCACAACATGTTTCTCACCAGGTAAATTCCCGACATTCATCGCTGCTCTCCTCCATGTTCCCGTTTTCTCTATCTGATTCCGACGTTCCTGATTTCGATTTCCAAGGACCGAGTATGACCGAGGAGTGAACACCTTCTCTCCCGAAGGCCGCCTCTTTCAGGTCGAATACGCTATCGAAGCCATCAAGGTAAATTACTGCTTGACCTAACTCGCCTTCCCCCCCCCCCCCCCCCCCCCCTCACTAAATCTCGTAATCCCGCAAAACATTTGGGTTTATCGGGCTAAAGCTAGCTTCTTGCGTATGCCCCTTATCTGGGTTTTAGTCGATTAGTCCTATAGACTCCCCGGCCACTATATTCTGCTGAGTAACGGATCACCTCCTAACTGATGCTTATAAGTCGGTATGATACATCGATTTAGTGTGCTACAGACTCTGTCTCCTGTTGTGGCGAACCCCGATCCATTCGTCTCCTAGCGGACGTCTTAAGAGCTTGAGTTTACTGTTTAGCTTCATGAAGTGGTTATTTTAGCTTACCGGTAGTTTATCTTCTTATTTCCATGCTGAAGTTTACTTGCAACGAATTGTATGTTTGGAAGGTCGAAATGAATCTGTCTGCAGACTTAACATGACTTATGACTGCACCATTTCTTAAGTTTCTCGCGAAAACATCTTTTCCAGAAGGATTGCAGGACATCCCGTGATTCGTTTGATCTATTTTTGTCAGCTTGGTTCTACTGCGATTGGGCTGAAGACAAAGGAAGGGGTTGTGCTTGCAGTTGAGAAGCGTATCACTTCACCCCTCCTGGTTGGTTTTCCCTTTCTCTATTCTCTCTTATGTAGGTTTGTTCATGAACTTAAAACTTATACTTGTGTTGAACCAATAATTGCGTAAATGGGCATGTTCTATGTCAGTGTTTGTTTCCTGTCTAACCTTGTACGAAAGAATGCCTGTTTTGGTATGGTTACGCCTTTCGTTTGAATTCACTGAGTGCAATTCATAATGGCTCAACAGGTTTGGTCCTTCTTAGGCTTCTGTGCTAATTTTGCTCTGAAAAGCAATGAAAGCCTAACGGAACTCCAGAAGCCTAGGGACGACTCGCTTCCATTTCTTGATGTGCTTTTGTGTACCTAAAATTAGCTTCTCTTTGTGTGTGGAGAAACAAAATTTATATTTTCTCATTGACTTTCTCAGGAGCCCAGCAGTGTGGAGAAAGTCATGGAGATCGATGAGCATATCGGATGTGCTATGAGTGGATTAATTGCAGATGCCCGTACTCTTGTTGAGCATGCTCGTGTTGAAACTCAAGTAATCCTTCTGTTCCTACTATGCTTCTGTCTTTTCAAGAATCCGGAGCTCCCACACTGACTAACATGTAGCTTTCAGAATCATAGATTTTCATACGGTGAGCCAATGACTGTGGAGTCTACTACACAAGCCCTTTGTGATCTGGCCCTGAGATTTGGTGAAGGTGATGAAGAGTCTATGGTAATACACTTGTCATATATATATATATATGAATAATTATTAGTGACTACTGTTAATCTCAGCTCAATTCCATTGTTAAGCCTGATGAAGAGTCTATGGTAATACACTTGTCATATATACATAGCTATGAATAATTTTTAGTGACTACTGTTAATCTCAGCTGAATTCCAGTGTTAAGCCTGCATCCAGAATCATTTGTTATGTTGGCCTCTTTTCTCGGATGACATTTTCTAGTTCATGTATCCCAATGATGTTTGGTGAGTTATCTACTAGGAACATGAGTTGTCTGCATCATTGTATAGTCTTCTGAACATTCCCTGCATCAGTAACCAGAATCACTAATAGTTTATACTCTCCAAAATCTAGGAAAAGGAAATGTTATCCTGCTTGATAGTTGAGTGCAGTTTTTGGTCCTTGATGCATTACTGTAACAATTTGATCCAACTTGGTATTTATCAGTTTTTGCTCCTCTTTGCAGTCTCGCCCTTTCGGGGTATCGCTTCTCATTGCTGGTCATGATGAGAATGGTCCCAGCTTGTAAGTACTCATGTGTGCTTCATATTTCTAGATATACTATGTTGCTTGCAGGTCTTGTGGGCTTTTCTTTAACCAGCTAATTTGCTTATGCAGGTACTACACAGATCCATCGGGCACATTTTGGCAGTGCAATGCGAAGGCTATTGGTTCAGGTTCTGAAGGTGCAGATAGCTCTCTGCAGGAGCAGTATAACAAGGTACTGTTGCTTCGTTTTGATGCTTGCAGTCTTCTCCTTTCCTTTTCTAAGTCTTCCATTGGATGACAATATCACATTAGATAGGCTCTTCAAGGTCTTGATCTTTTCCATAGTGTTGCATAGGTTAGTGTAATGAATCTTGCTGTCTCCTGTAACCCACGAGAAGAATGTGTATGACGTTGCATTTTGTTTCTCTTGCATTATAATAACATCCGTAATATAATCTGCAGGAACTCACTCTTCAGGAAGCTGAAACAATAGCACTTTCCATTCTAAAGCAAGTTATGGAGGAAAAGGTAATTTTTCCCCTTTTCTTTTTCTTCTTCTTATGATGGGGCACCCTACTTGCGTATGCCGGCTGTATTGCTCTTGGTTGTCGAGTCTGAATTTAGAATATGCTGATGATTTGTAGGTAACACCCAACAACGTGGACATTGCCAAAGTGGCTCCGACATACCATTTGTACACCCCTTCTGAGGTGGAGGCCGTCATCAGTCGCCTATGATGAGATACTATGACCACATATTTCCTCCATAGACATGATATGTATCACTAGTTTTTGTCTTCTGTCAACTGTTTGTCGTTTCACCTGAGGGCTTGAGGATATCGAACCATGACAATGACTGCTTTGCTACTTTGAGCAATTTTAGTCCATGCCTGCCAGGATATCTGATGTTTCAGTAGTTTGAATTGGCTCAATGGATAGGGGTAAATTGTGGTGAATCCACAGTAGGGGGAATGATTTTCTTGCCAATTGATGAACATTTGAGCCTTTTGATCGGAGAAATGGATCGTGTCGTTTTGAATTATTGTCTATTGATGCGAGTGCAGTATCCCCTCTTTCGCATCATCATACCATGCACGCAAGGAACAAATTTTTACTTGAATGTGATTAGTTTCTTTATATTGGCCAAGGTAGGCTAGGGGAAGGTGTGTGTCAAATTTGTTGCTTTATGGTGAGATAGGATTATATTCATATGTATGTTTGCCTGTAGCCTGTCATCAGTCACTTATGAAGCAACTACTACGCAGCATGTTTCCTCCATAAACTTGGAATGTATCCTAGTTTTCTTCTTCGTCCGACTATTCTTCTTGCGACCTGTGAGAATGACTTCAAAGATAACTTCACTACTCGGATAATCTTTAGTTCATGTTAGCTGGGATTTCTTTTATCTACATGTAATCTGCTGCAGTTTCTTCTTTTGATAAATGGAAGCAAAGTGCATCTGCTGCTTCTCCCAATGACATATGATAAGCAATAGGCTACAAAATGTAAACCAAATGGTAAAGAATGCGCTCACCTGGTGCAGTTTGATTTTGCTTAATGATAAGTGTGGCCGTGTGTAGCCATCGTCAGTTTGCCATAAGGAAGGTCATCATTCATGTTTCATTTTAACAGCACGTACACAAAGACAGCAAACTTTAAGCTAGCCATAAGCTATTCGTTTCAAAACCCAAAATTGAGCGCAATATATGACCAATGGATCCTTTAAGCTATACATCAATCATACCCTCCAAGTGAAGGCAGCTGCCACTTATTCAGTTGTCTAAAATCTGGAGAAAAGAAAACTCGCAACATTGGGAAAATCGAAGCGAGTACAATCTTATTATTCTGCTACTTCCTTCTGAGGTCCAGATGATAAGTACAACAATCCTCTCTCTAATTACGGTACTCATCCATGAAGCTCTTGTGGAAGGCTGTCAAGCGCGAGACAATGGCCGGAATCTTGTCCTCCTGCGGCAAAATGGTACATCTGAAGTGCCACGTCCCGGGAACCTGCAAACCAAAGAACAGACTCAGTGATATGTGTAAGTGTAACTGTTATTTGCCAAAATTTCATGATTGCAAAAGGATGCTATCATGGCTAATGACTTTTTGCCCGTCAAAGCATCCTGGCCATAATCACTTCCAGCAACTAGAAAACCGATTCATCACCGCAACAGAGAGAAGTGATCAATATATCAATATCAATATATACCCTCAAATGTTTTCCAGTGATCAAGCATATTGATTAAGAAATCCAACAATCTTCCATCTTCCAAGTCCAACAATGAAATCTCTAGTTAAGAGGTTACTGCATAAGCAAATCTCGGACCAGGTGGTTGATTTCACGATTACATGAGATACTTGGCGTACATTAAGGCATTAAAAAGTCAGCATACTGCTATTGTTATATATAGCACTAGAGTAGTACCAAGGAGCCTTGTCTTTCTACTCAAGGCATGTTAATGGCAGAAGTGATATAGTACTACCATGACGTTAACCACTCCTACACCTTATTTTGGAGCCATGGCATCATTTTAAAACAAGGAGAAGTTCTTACCTGACCAAAGCCAGAACCAGGGACCACAACCACTCCAGTAGCATTGAGGAGACGACGACAATAAAATAGATCGGGGGCAGTCTTCGCAGCTTCTGCAGCTTTGATTGCCTTTTCAGGCAACTTGATGCAGGGGAAAAGATACATTGCTCCCTCTGCTTTGTTGCATGTTATTCCCTCTAAACTCTTGAATGCATCTTCCAGTGTCTGCCAATAGTTGAAGGAAACAATAATATATAAATTAAGATAACAACAACGCAGATAAATATGAAACTTAATATGGTTACGATAACTTTTGATTGCTTGATCATTAGCAAACACCGGCCAATGCAAAGAAGCACAATGAGAAGCAAGGAATACACTAACCAACTAGTTTCAGCTCATACTCTATCTCAAGTGCTTATAAACATTGACTAAACTACATATAAAAGGTATTTGAGCTACTAACCTTGGCACGCCTAGCCAGAGATTTAAGAATTCCGTCTTTCTCGGCAGAATATGATTCATAAGATTCATCTCCAACCTGAAAGCATCCCCGTTGCATTATAAGTTTAATAAAGCAAAGAAGCTAGTCTTCTTAACGTGGGCAATAGATTAATGATCCGATAAAAGAGCCAATTGTGTCTACATCTTGGACCTTAAGTAAGAAATCATTCACAAAGAGAGAGAGGGAAAGGGAGAGAATAAATGCCTTGGGCGGGCTCATAACAAGACTTGCAAGGATTTGGCCTGAAATATTAGAGCAGAGATTCACAGACGCCAATTTGTATATCTGCTCTCTGACTTCCGGACTAAAACCCGTGACCTCCATGTAGCCTCCTCTCTTTCCACACTCTCCATGGTACCCTGAAAATGTTTAAAAAGTATACATATGTGATTCCTGACCGGACTCAGGAATTGTGCAATATCTCCTATCAAGGTAATATAAACATCAAGCAGTTTACCTTTAGAGACAGACTGGAAAGATACTAGACACAAATCATTATCACCATAGCCCATAGATCGGGCAACCTTCTTAAATGAGTGAAATTTCTTCTCAGGAACATAGACATTTTCCTGATAAACCTGTACAAAACAGTTCGTCCAATATAAGAAGATGAACCACCTCAAGAACGTAACCCCAGTCACAAAACTAGTCGTTACTAACCTCATCTGCTAAAAGAACAAGACCCTCTTGCTTGCAGAACTCCACAATAGCCCGCTGGTTTTCCTCCGCGAGAACCTGCAAGCATAAGGAGCAAGTCGACGCTTATCAAAATTCCTCCCAAGCGTTACCAACATGTTGGGATATCAAGAAAGTACTTTGAGGCTAAGATAACTCTCTTCAGAATTATAAATGTAGGCTAACCCTCACCTGTCCAGTTGGGTTGCCTGGATTTATAACAACCAGAGCCTTAACAGTGATACCCTTTGACCTAGCTTCCTTTAATTGCTTCTTAAGTTCAGAAACTTCCAAGCCCCAGCCAGTTTCTTCGTCAAGATAGTAAGGGACCTGCAATTAACCATGCTACAAATGAATATCAAAGTAAAATAAAAACGCAAATAATCTAATGACATGCCGCTAGAGTGAATGGCATATGAGAGAGGTTCCTTACCAGACTACCACCATGGAGAGCAATGGAAGCAGAGTACAAAGGGTACTGAGGAATGGGACATAGAAGTCCATCTTTTTCGGAGCCTATCAATAATTGCATCATCATGTGTACCTAACGGAAAGGGGAAACATTATCAGTTGCAGCACGCTGGAAACAAGATATAAAGTCCAGGTACATATAATATGTAGAGACTAAGCTGATTCCAATGTTTGGTATCAAAACAATGTCTCAAGAGAAAAAGTATGTGGAATCATTCTTACAGCTGGACTAGCACCATCTGTGAGAAACAGATCATTTGGATTAGCAGGAAATCCATCACGAGCTTCAATACCAGCAGTAATCGTATCACGTAATCCTTTGATTCCCTGTCAAAAGCTGTATTCATCACACCGTTCTAACAAAAGCCCCAGTAGCAATAATACCATAGTCAGAGTTTCCAAAGATCAATGCCATGAACTCATGATTATAACCTGACTATGACTATATGCTCCAGTTGCTCTCCCAGGAATTTGGTCAAGAATCTGCCGTGCTCGCTTTATGGAATCAGCACTGGCATAAGACAAGCAAGAATCAGACAAGGCATTAGAAATGGTAAACCTATCATCAGAAGAAAAGAAAAAATATAATGCAAACGTGGTTTGAGACTGCTTCACAAAGCTAAGCGCTATCAGCTAGCACTGTCCAGCACATAACTATCTCTAATGAATTCTGGCTTCAAGCTGAAATACTAGAGGAAGGAAGGAACACAACAAAAAGTAGGAACTGAGAAGTGACACCTGAACAGGCCCTGTGCTTCAGCTTTGTCCAAAATCGCAGGATGATCACAGAGCGCAAGAACCTAACGTCGGGAAAAAAAAAAAAAAAAAAAAAAAAAAAAGGAGATATAAGCAGTGGCATTGACAGGAAGGATAAACCTTTATGCAGCAAATGGGAAAAGCCAAACTAACCTCTCGGAAGAAGGTTATAGGGAGCTGACCAAGAGACTGAGGGTTTCCAATGTTGCAATAGAGAATCTGCGTACAAGGGCATTGCAATTTCAGCTTCAATTCAAATTGCGCTTAAGATAAAAAATAAAAATAAATAAAAAAAGTCTCCTCTTGTGCAGCTTTGGTAATACTACTATCATTCCAAAGGAGGGTCGACTGGAAACTGGAAAGAAAGAAGCTTTCCCAAAGCAAAACAAACAGCATTTTGTAAAGCAATAAAATTCAGCATTTACTACCACAGAAGAACCCAACTAATGTTCATGATTAAAGGGCAATGTGCTGTTCCTGTAAACAGGGGCAAAATAAGCTTATAATAAGAGGGCGCGTAGAGGAGGAGAAGAAGAACCTCATCAAAAGGAAGGGAACCAGGTTTAGCCTTCAACTCTTCTTGCAGGCGCTGCACAATGAAACGTTGAACACGAGATGGAAGGCAATTAACAAACAGGGGGGAAATCAGCGAGGTGACAATAGGAGAAAACTTAGATTTAGTATTTACCTGAGCGAGGATGACAATCTCTCCACGAACCGCGTATTCACATTTCAAGACCTGGAAAAAGCAATCACATGCCCATCAATCAAAACTTTGCAGTTGAATGATGATGGCGATACAAATGGGATCTCAGCATCTATTCATAAAACAAAAATTAGGTGCGCAGAGAACAAATTGAAAGAACGAGCGACAGATGGGCGTGATCATAAGGCAAAAAGATGATGGATGGGTACCTTGGGGTTGATGGATTGGACGGAAACGGGGTTCGGCATGTTGGGAGGAGAGGGGGAAGAAGCGGCGGAGGAGGAGGAGAGTCGCCGGAGAAGGAGGAGGAGGGCGGTGGCGGAGGAAGAAGAAGAAGAAGAAGAAGAATCAAGACGGTGGTGCAGAGGAGGAAGGAGAGAGCGATGATGAGCGTGATTAAGAAGGAAGAGACAAGTAGTAGTAGTACGTTTGGCACCTCCAATTACTGATCTCCGCATATTTTTTTTTGTGTGTTGGAAGCTTTCTTTAAATATGCGGGCGCGATTGAAAATTCAACTCTCCAGCAGTCCCCACGCAGAGAGAGAGAAAGAGTGGGAGAGAGAGAGTAGCGGTGTCGCTGTACGAATGGTTGCTGCAGCTTTTACCTGCCCTGGTAGGAGCGACGAGAGAGGGAAATGGAATGGAAGGGAAGGTGTCCAGTCTGTTCCGTGGGCCGCACGAATTTTCAGGCGGAATACGGGAAACGGACGATCGCCACTTTTCTGCCTTTTTCTATAAAATATAAATTTAAAAAGAAATGTGTAATCAGAAATTATCATAAAATATTAAAAAAAAAATTACCAATAGATCACTTAAAAATATTAAATATAATAAGTATGATAATAGTGAGAAAATAACTATTAGTATTATTATAATTAAGTATTATCTCTTGTGTTGTTGAGTGGCGACAAGTCACATTTCTGAATAGAGATGAGATCCCCGCTTTATGGGTTAGAATGCTTGTGTTGTCATGTTGTGATGGTGTTGAACTGGTTGGTTGGGAAGTGGCTGCCTCGGCTGGATATTCCAGCCTTGGAACATCACTGGTTGACAGAATTGAAGAATAGCAAATCCATATGGAAGAAGGATTGCAGAAGAGGAGAAGAAACGAAGTCGTTTAAGTATAGTTTCTATTCCTAAAGGTGCTGCGACACCGTTTCTATTAATGTTGAGTATTAGCCACAGTTCGGCCTTCGGACGGGATAATGGGTAGAAAGTATTTCCGCCTGGTTTCGAATGGGATTAAGACACTGTTTAGTGTTTACCATAGAGACACTTGGCAACTATCTGTAATCCCATATTATGAGCTGATATAAAAGAGCAGAGTAGCACACTGCTGACTCTGTAATTGTTCGGCCATTTCTCAACCCTAAACATAGAAATTGTCATGGTATCAGAGCGGTCGTCTTAGGGCCGATTCCGCGACGCGATGTCGGAGCAAACCGAGGCTGAATCGACTGATGAAGCTCGGCGTGCTAGTGGCATCTTCAACAACACAAATTCTCCGTTTGGGACTACTTCAGGTGACCAGAGCGGCAACAATGGAGTCATTGTCTTTGGTAACCCTCTATACCTCAACCCAAACGAGAATTTCACACAACCCATTGTCTCTGAGTCGTTGGATGGGACTAATTACTCTATTATGTGGAGTAGATCCATGAAGAAGGCACTGAAAATGAAACACAAACTGTGTTTCATCGATGGATCTATGGCGATTCCAGCCAAAAACGATCCGAGCTATCTCCTGTGGGATAGTTGCAATATAGCTGTAGTTACTTGGATTCTTAATACACTGCAGAAAGACATCAAGAGGTCAGTTATGAGTCATGAGAATGCCAAAACCTTGTGGGATGAACTTCATCGTAGATTTGGTCAGTTAAATGCTAATAGATTGACAAATCTAAAGGATGAGATACATCGATGCAAACAGGGTTCCATGACTATTACTCAATACTACACTTTGATCAAAGGTTTATGGGATGAATACTCAGAATACAGTCCTATTGTTGAGTGCAATTGTGTTCAAGGAAACCCAGTTCCCTACACTGCAGTGGTGGCATATAATCAGAAGCAAGAGACTGATTATCTAATCAGATTTCTCAGGGGTTTGAACCCAGAGTTTGAAGGAGTGAAGAAACAGCTTCTGATGCTTAAGCCTCTACCCAAAGTAGCAAATGCAGTGGATGATTTATTGCAACATGAACAAGAGTTAAAAGCTAATATGTCAGGAAGTGGTAAAAGGTCACAGACTGTGGCACTTGCAGTGCAATCCGAGGCTACCAAGGCAAATGAGTCTAATGAAAAAAGTCAGGGTAAGAAATACTGCAAGTTCTGCAAGAAGACCAATCACAACATTGAGGAATGTTGGACTTACAAGAGGAAGGTTAAGGAACAGGAGCAAGCAGGTGGTATGCAACCTGGTCTTCAGAAGTTTGTTGGTTCAGTGTCTCACAGCAGTTCCAGCAGCAGTGAATCACCATCTGAGTCCAGTTTTCATAATGAAAGCAGTGTGGTAAGTCATCCTATTCCTGGTTTTACCCCAGAGGAGATGAACAAGCTGAGATATTTGCTGCATTATGGTGCTGGTAGCTCAGGTCCACCTTCCAACACAGTCCATAACTCACCCTCTCCCCCAACCTCTCCTTCCATACAACACCAAGACTATTCTGTTTCTCAGTACCTACCCCCATTCCCAAATTACTCAGGTAAATATGTCTTATCCTCAACCATTCAATACAATGGTCTTAAGCCTGATGGTTTATGGATATTAGACACAGGAGCATCTGACCATATAGCTTGTTCCATAGATCTGTTTACTGAGTATAGGAATGTTCAAGATGTTTTTGTTCATCTACCAAACTCTTCTAAAGTTGTAGTAAGTCATATAGGAACTGTCAAACTACCATTTGGTCTTTTCCTATACAATGTTCTCCTAGTGCCCAGTTTTTCTTTCAATCTGGTTTCAGTTAGCAGACTTACACATGACTACCCTCTTTCCTTACACTTTCATTCTGACATTTGCCAAATCCAGGACCTTCTAAACAAGAGGATGATTGGTTTAGCAAGAGAAGTTAGAGGACTCTACCAGCTTACCTTCTCACATCAGACCACCAACCAACCAGACCACCACCAAAGTCAAGCTGCTAGTGTCTTCAACTTTAGCACCCAACAAGTAGATTTGTGGCACTGGAGACTAGGACATCCCAACAATGATAGACTTAGCTTGTTACATCACATAGACTCATCTGTAACTAGCTCTAAAGTAGATCATTGTAATATTTGTCACTTTTCCAAGCACAAAAGACTACCTTTTCCTATTAGCACTACTAATGCAAACAAACCTTTTCAGCTTGTTCATGTGGACATATGGGGTCCTTTGTCAGTCATTTCTTATGATGGATACAGTTACTTTCTTACCATTGTGGATGATTGTTCAAGGGCTGTGTTACCCACCTTTTTTAGACATGTAAAAGACATTTCTACCCCGGGGTATATTTAAAAATTATTCATAAACACACTTAAAATAATTACACCAAACTTTAATAATTTGAAATCTCAATGACAAGCCCTAAACATGTGGGCAAAACTCCAAATCATATTCTTAAAAGAAACAAACGACCAGAATCTCCAGTTCTTAACTTTCAACCACAAAGTCCAAATAACTTAAAAGTTTTCCCCGACGCTTACTCTGATGCTTGGTCCACCATTCTTTAATGACGCTGATGTTGAGCCCCTCTAACCTGTTGTCCACGAACTATCTGATCTTGATCTCCTCCTCTACGATCTGGTGAGTGAGTTGGGGTCAGTCTACGCCATTACTTAAACTTGAAACACTTACGGATTATTACCTTAAGTGTTCCTCAAGCAATAAATTAGTGGAAGTTGATTATACTTTCGCCCTTTAAAACTCTTAAAACATGGGATTTACTCTTAACCCCACTCTCAAAACTTTAAAACTTTGACCGACACTGGGATCCCCCACTAGCTAGTCCGGTTGGCCAACTCATACGTATGAGAGCCCATAGAGGCTTAATTGAACTTAAACTTAGTTAGGGGAGTCGTAACGATCATCCCCCCTAACATCTTATACTTATCGTGGTGGCTCTTCACCATGATTCTCAAGAGCATAATTGCTGCTCATCTTAAAAGTCTCAAGAGCATAACTGCTGCTCATCTCAAAATCTCATATGGGCAACAGGCTGGCGCTAGCGACTAAAAACTCTTAAAACTTTACGCCTTCCTTGAAGGTGTTGTACTCCTTAAAAGTAACTTACTAGTAATTAAATACATGACATCAACTATATGACTGAAAACATAACTTACACGTAATATCATGCATCACGTAAACATACATAAGCATATATGTCACATAACAGCAAATCTCAAACGTAATTACCGTAAGGTAAATACTTGAAAATATGTAAGGCGTAGATTTTACCCCCTTTACACTCACCTCTTGTGGCGATTACTTAGTTCCCTTGATGTGGAACCCTTACTCCGATTGCTACCTTAAACCTATAATTTGAACGTATATCCTTTTAGTCGATACTGCTCAATTTATCACCTTTAACTCACTTAAAACTATCCTCCTTAAATCTATAATTTTAAAATATCAAAACGTCCTTCTAGATTCTTGTAAAATTATCAAATGGGTCAGGAGCCTTCTTTTACTATTTTAGTTAAATAAAACCGTCCTTAGTTTAATTTTTATAAATATTAAATCACCTCTTAAAATCTCCAAATTTATTATGAGTAACCTTATAGCACCCTAGTTACGTATAAAATTATCAAACATACCAAAGTCTCTTATACAGTATTTTAATTTTCTAAAACTGATGTTTTACGAATTTTTAGAATTATAAATACAGCTCATAAAATTCTCAAATTATCATCCAGTCATTGTAATAATATTCTCTAATTTATAAAATTATCAAATCATAAAAATATTCACTGAAATGCGTCGGAAGTAAACATGTCCATTAGAAAATACTACTTTCTGTCAATTGTCAAAATTTGAAACGCAGGGGACCAATCTGCTCATACTAGAAACATGGGGGACTAATCTAGATATTTCTCACCGACAGTACCTGTACGTTTCAGCTCACGTCTCAAACTTTCGTAGCTCCGTTCTCCCTCGTCTAACGTCGAAATTCGATTTCGTCAAATCGGTGACGATCCTGGGATCGTCCTCTGCACGATGGTACCAAGGTTTTGAAGTTTGGTCGAGGTCGACCACGCCGGAGCCGCTGTCGAAGTTACGACCATTATATATGTGGGTTTGAGTTAGTTTTGATCGAAAGCAAATTCGGAGATTGATTGGGGATGAGTACTCACCTTCAAAGCGAGCCTAGGGTAGGTACGGGCTGTTGAACCTCAGTTTATCTCTTAGATCATCCTTTGATCACCTCGTACTTTTGTCGCCGCAGCTACGGCGCAACAACCATAGTTAGCTAATTATGTAGCTTCGAGGTTTGAAAAGGGTTTGGGATCCATAGCTCTTACCTACTGGTCTCGAGAATATACGAAGGAACCATGCGCTAGTTATGTGGCCCTTATATGCCAACGTCAATGAGCAGTGATGCGGTGGTTTAGTGGTACGGTGATGAGAATGGAAGGGACGTTGCGGCGGACGAAAGGCAACAAGAATGGATGGATGAGGTTGACGATGATGGAATGCACAGTGTTTCTGAGGGAATTAG